GAAATCACTATATATATAGTTTCACTATTTCTTTTCCCGTCACCTTTTTTAAAAAAAAAATATTCCATTGTATATTATATGATCTAAAAGGCCTAATAATTTAGTTTTCTGTATCTATTTTAGTATTTTTTTTATGGTTAAAATATGCGGCCGGTCCCTATATTTCAGCAAACTTTGAGATAGTTTGTATATAATATAATGTCAAAATTAGCCTCTAATGTTTAGCAAAATAGTCGTTTTCCCCTATTCTGTTTTCTGGAGCATTTTGGTCCCAAACGTTTCATTTTATGGCAAAAAACTCCTAACATTTGATAGAATAATCATTTTGTCCCTTTTTTGAGACATTTTAGCTCTCAATATTTCATTTTAGGTTACAAAGGCTCATATTTTAGAACATTAATTGTATCTTAACTAATGGTTTTCATCTATAGAGGGAGTTTTTTGCCTCAAAGTGAAACGTTGGGGGACAAAATACTTCCAAAAAAAGAATAATGGTCGAAGTGACTATTTTGGTAAACGTTGGGGGCTATTTTTGATATTTTGCCTTCTTATAATTTAAAGGTCTAAAAACTTTAGTGGGTTGAGCACTAGATGTCTAGATCTCTTAAGCAATGTTAGAGGTTCGAATCTTAAATTTTTCCTATAGAGAAAATCGAGTTGGGAGAAAAGAATTGTAGGCAGTTTAAAGGTGTAAAAAAATGAGTGGGGGTCAATTAATAGATCATATATCGTGATTATACCAAAAAGTCTAAAAATATTGAATCTTTTATTTTTATTTTTAATTTAAAATCTATAGTTCAATTACTGATAATATTTAGTATTTTCTGTCAAAATCTGTGTAATCAGATATGCTTACTGAGTTCATTATGATTTACTTTTGAATTTGAGATTGATGACAAAATATGATGGGAAGTACTAACCCTATCATATTTTATTTCGAATAAAGGGACTAGAGGCGTAATTTGACCTATATTTATTTCCTTTTTCCAAGATAAAAATCTCACCCCCATGATATTCTTTTTCCTTTTTGGTACATCTATTTTTATAGTTAAATTTATTTAATTATAATTAAAGTTTTCTCATTCATCTTGTTTTCCCATATATGTATAGGGTTTGCTTATAGACTAGGGAGGAAAAAATCTCCTTCATGTTGAATTTTGATCGATTTGATTTAAAAAAAATTAAAATTTCAATAAAATTTAAATTTTGAGTTAAATTAATTTTTTTAATTAATTTTTTTAAGATTAATCGAATTAGATTTAAATTTGAAGAGAATCAGTCTCGTCACATTTCATTTGAAATAATTACAAAAATATCTTTATATATATTTATATATTATTGATTAAGTTTTGATAAAAAATAAAAATAACATACCAAATAGTATAATTATGGAATTAATTTAAATTTTATGTTATTAAATTATATGAATGAGTGTTTATTCAATCATTTTTCTATTTTAACAAAAATATGTAAAAATTGAATATTATATTAAACTAAGTCATATCAAAATTAATTTATTAATTAAATTTTTAGATTGAATTTAAAATACTTGTGTTATGATATTGTATAATGGATCAAAAATATGTCTGGTTAGCATTCCTACTATAAATGGAGTTAAAGACGTTGAGTATTGATCGAGTTGACTTGAGTTGAATTCAAAAATTTTAAGTTATTCGAGTTGATGAGTCATATTTTATAACTTAAATTTTATTTGAATTTTTTTTAGTCGAATTGTTCAAGTTTATATTTAAATATAACCCTAAATATTTATAACGTTATGATATTAATTGATTCCAAATTAAACAACTTTTATTTATCTATATCTATATATATACACACACACGCATGTGTGTGTTTCTTCAATTTTTTTCATATGTGAGACTCGGTTATAACTTTAAAATTAATTCATTAATTGTTAAAAAAATTGAGTTATTCCGAATCTTATTTTATAGTTCAAACTTTATTTGAAATTTTTTGAGTCGAATCGAAGTTTATTCACTCCTCTAAGAGTATGTATAATTAATATTTTTAAAAATAATAATTAACACTTAATGCTTTAATTTTACTTGGTTTATAACGTTAATTAATCACAAGAAGATAGGGTTGAGAAACTTAGAATCATTTCAAGTCACTAAAATACAAAAGATACAAACAAACGAGGGAAAACAAAAGAAAACGAGGGGGAGATATATAAGATTAGAATCTTTACTAAAATAATATAAATATTAGAGGTATAATCAGGGATGAAACTAGGCGAGCGATCACCCCTTGAAAATTTAAAATCAGTATATGTTTTAGATTTTTTTTCTATGTATTTTCTATTGAAAATATATTTTTGTCCCTCTAAAATTTTATAAGTTCAAATTCACCCCTAAAATTTAATAAGTTCAAATTCACGCCTAATATAAAATCGTCCGTACATTGATATAATATATAATCAAAACATGATTCTACGGTTCACCTATATGGGGACTTTAGACTCTTCTTCAATGCATGTGAAAAGTGACACATTAATACAAACAAATCCTAAAATATTATAAAACTATCCCTAACCATAATTAACATTAATATTATTTTTACTAATAAGTTAATTTAGTGGTCCATCAGTAAAGTCATACAGTGACCAAACATCCTCCTTGGTTCATTTTACATTCTTTCAACTACAGTTGGTTCCTTTATTAATCCATATTTATTTATCTATCTATTTTGATTTGTACCTCGAACCGCCTTGTTGCATTCACATTTGATTTTAATATGTTTTGAGTTTTAAAATTATGGTTATTTTGATGTATTTAATTTGTTTCAAATTATATTTCTTATTTTTAATAATATTATTTTAAAAATTCGAGTTAAAATTCTTTTTTTTTGGTATACAAAAGTTTAGGTCAAGGTTGACTCCCCCAATCCAGGGTCAGGGCATACCTAAGAACTAATTGGGATTTACATAGAACTTTACAGATAGCACACCAAGAGTGACAGTGGTGGGATTCGTAAAATTCTTTCCTTGAATGTATCTTATTATCACTACACTGGATATTTGTTGTATTTAAAAATTATTATTGTCATCAACAACCAGTTGGTCTAGTGAGATGAAATATTAGGTCCCTTAAACATGATCAGAGGTTTGAATCCTGACGTTTGCGAATAGAGCAAACTGGGTTGGGAGGGTCGTCTCGCCTCTGCAGTACCCGATCTGTAGTAGTATGTCAATAGATCGGTTACTAGTGATTAATTCAAAAAAAAAATTATTATCAACTCGAAATATAGCATTGCAAAGGCATTATCATGTGATTTTAACGTTGCTTTAATGATATTATAAAAAAACACACACACACACGATATCTGAAGCTATTATTTTTTTGGATTAATGTTCATTTTGGTTTTTAAATTATACTCGTTTTTTGGTTTACTTTAAATTTTTTATTCCATTTCGATACTTAAACTATCATTTCTTTTTAAATTTATCTTAAAATTTAAAAGTTATTAATAAGAATATATCACGTTTTATTAGATGACAATAATTTTTAGTAAATAAAACAAAAAAATCGTTTTAAATATTAAAATGAATCATAAAAAAATTAAATTCCAAAATGACAAAATTAATATAATTCAAAGGTTAAAATGGGTATTAAACTTTTTTTTCCAAAGAAAACATGTATTGCATGATTTGAAAGAAATTTATTGTACTGTGATAATAATATTCGTTATAAGTAGGGATAGATTAAAGGGAGGCCGGTGGAGCTGTTGTTTTATTGAAAATGTTAGATTTTTATATAATTTAAATATTTTTTACTAATAATCTATTTTCGCCTCCTACCTAAAATCATATGTTTATCGTTGATTATATGTCACATTCATCGTTATCTCAATTATCCCAACACTTAAAAATATGACTTTAGGGATAAAATGATAATTTTTTCTTGTAAATATTAGGGATTTTCTCCTAACACTAACAATTTCCGATTATTCATTAATAATACTTATAACTTTTCATGGAAGTCGAAGGAGCGGTAGCCTAATTTAAGGTTAAAAACAACAACCTTGGGCGAAACAGAAAATGTGATAAAAATCATAACACTTTAGGTTAGGCGCAACCTAAAATGTTATTTTTTCCTAACATTTTCGGTTGAATCGAAAATGTTACATTCTTCATAACATTTTCAGTTACCCATTTTCGATTGGCAACCGAAAAATGTTATATTCCTTGTAGTATTTTAGATTCAACCGAAAATGTTAAGTTAATAAAAATATAATATTTTAGGTTACGTTTAATCTAAAATGTTATGACTTTCACTACATTTTTTATTGTACTCTAAAGTCGTCGTTTTTAACTTTTAAATTTGACTATCGTATAGCAGAACTATCCTAATTTTTCGCAAAAATTAAAAATGAATAAATCGACACGAACTATAGACTCTTCCAGTATTCATTAACAAAATTGATACAGTAATAAAAAAAAAAGACTTTAACAGTACCTCTACGTTCTGCGACCATCTAAAAGAATCAAAACCCCACCAACATATCAACTTTATTTTATTTTTCACCTTGGGATTCGACAATGAACATCGTACAAAATTCACGGGGTCGTGATTATATATCCTCCTCCATGCACAAATGATTTTGATTTTAACTTTGGAGTCATATTAATACAGTGAAAACAATAACAATAATCATTGTTATTAAGGGTAAATCTGTTGGTCCAACCCAAATTTCCATAGTTATTTTTGTCAATTCTGGCTCGAGTAAAAACAATTTACAAAAAGGAGGAAAAAGTTTTACCATTAGCCTTTCTAAAGCTGTTCATATGGCAGCCTTTGGTTTTAGTACTTCATCTTCCCTAAGTGGTCATATAGTCTCCTTTGAACTTCTGTTGAGAAGAAAATTCTTGATAAAATTTAGATTATTTGAAAATTACATGATTCTGGTGAAACCAACAGTAATTTTTCTAGTACAGTTCATGGTAAATTGGCCTAAAAATTAAGCGATTTCAGTGAACAACCTGAAGGTTAAAAAAAGCCTTCATATAATATGAAGATGGAAATTAAAGAGAAATTACAAATTACAGTGGGATTATGGAATGGAAAACCGCAGTAAATTCTCAATTCAACATAGCATCTTCTTGAATCCTACCTAGCAACTCGTTTACTGCTGTAGCAATGTCATCCACTGAAGTCAGCTTACAATCATCTTCTACCTGCATTTTTTGCAACCAATTATAGTAAATTATACTACAAATCTGAAGTCCATTTATATGTATGATGTATGTATGTATGCTAACCTTGACACTGAGAGAATAGAGTACAGTTTGATCAACTGTAGTGACATTGAGATGGAGGATATTGAGACGCATACTGCTCAACCCTGAAACCAGTTTCAGGAGCTGTGCCGGTCCCTTTTTTGATCTTATTTTGAGGTTTGCATGGCTCTCCACCATGGTAACTTCGATGTCGGCTATGGCGGATCGATTCTCAGACATCGATTCGTTAGTCGGGTTCGAATTACTATCGCCCCGAGTCGAGTACTGTGGGAACGTGAAGAACTCGGCAAAAGGTGATGAACAGCATCTAGTACTTGTACTTCCATCTGATCTTTCCTTCACCTCTTTCTTAGCACTTAGCAATTGAACACAGTGCTCAAGCTCCTTCACAAAATTGATAGCTCCTCCAACTATTGACGCTTGATCACCCTAATCAAAACAATAAACTTATGATTATCATATATATATATATATATATTACAAGTAATGAAATGAAATATACCCTTTGAACATAAGATTCAGGCATGAGAGAGCGAAGAACAGAGAGATATTCATTCATTTGCCTTCTCCTATTGCGTTCAACAGCAATGTGAGTCATCCTTTGATTCTCAATCTCTTCCTTATTTTTACGAGTTTTGAGCCGACGTCTTTTGGGACGACTTGAGGTCGTTTCAAAAGCCGCCGCCGCCGAATCATCGATGACATCGGAGGATGATCTATTAACATTATTGTTAGTAGCATCACTGAAATGGGGTAGTGGAGCCATTGAAGTTGGTGAAGAAGAAGAAACCCAATAATCTCCATTAACAAAACTAGCGTTAGCATCATCGGATGTTTGGTTGCAATGATGGAAATGCTTGTCGTCTTCAATGTCTTGTTCATAGCTCAAACTCCCTCCCAACAAGCTGTAGAGTTCTTTGCCGCTGAAACCGAACAAATCTTGCTGGAAAACTACAGCTTCCAGTGCCATTTTCTTTCTCTGCTGCTGCTGCTTTCTCTTTCACAACAAAACAAAAAAGAAAGGTTTTATTATTATTTGTTTAAATAAGATACCCAAAGGCCAAAACAAGAACAAAAAAACAAAAGAGTTGGGGGGAGATGTTAGCCTTGAGGGTTTCAACTTTGGGTTGCAGAAATGAGCCTTTTAAAGGCATTTGATGAACCCCAAAAATATTAAAATAAAATTATGATATTTTATTCAAAGGATAAAATCATCTTTAGTCCTTGAATTTGATACATTTTTCTTAATTTAATCCTTATAGTTTTTTTAGTCCACCTTATTGATAAATTTTTCAACTTTTAATCATTTTGATGATATGTCACTGTGATATATTATCATCATATGGAATAATATCAGTGTCACATCTTTAAGTTATAAAAAATTCATGTGTTGAGGCTAATGTTTGAAAGTCTTTGAACATATATTATTTTGTATTCACTCTATATTTATAAAAAAAATCATGTTTTTTACTAACGTAGACTAGGAAAAATGTTTTAGGGACCAAATTGAGAAAATCATCAAATTTAAGAATTAAAATTATTTTTGAGCCCCTAATTTTTTTAACGAAAAAAGTCAATTTTGGAACATATGAATAATCAGGTGACTATTTGTAACTTTTAATAGCCAAAAGATTCAACAAAGCAACGCCGCCATATAGTTGGGAGACATTTTATAACTTTTAATAGTTATGGGACTCAACAAAACAATATCCTATAGTCGGTGGACCATTTGTGTATTTTATCAAAAATTGTTTTAAGGACCAAATTGAGAAAATTATTAAATTTAAGGACTAAAGATTACTTTATTCTTCTACTGATAGAAAAAAAAGGCATATAAATATGATTTCTATTTTTGAACTTACTCGTAGGTATTAAGCTAACATGCTCTCGTCTTGTGAGCCACACTTTGTCTACTCATTGGTTTTATTTATGTAATGAAAATTAATTTTGGACCAAAAAATCTTTTTAAGAATATGAAAATGACATTTTTGAAATTAATATTGAAAATGATGCAAGATATTTACGAACTTTAATTAATTTTTGGATTCTTCTAGAATTATGGACATGACTTTCAGTTTCTTTAATTTGATAAAGATATTTAATTACATTTTCAAAAAAAATTAGTGGTTCAAATTTGTTTGTGACTTTTTATAAAAGAAAATTATATAATTTTGGTAAAATATGTAATATAATATTATAATATATGAATGTTGATCACGTATAATGGTGTATATATAATTTTAATTTGATTTAAATTTCATAAATCGCTAACATTTTTATTAATGTACTATGGTTTTATATTTATGTATTGTGTGAACAAAGAATTATAGAAATATAATATAAAATAAATAAATTTATAATTGTTTAAATATTTATAACTAAACTAAAATTAAAGTTTCGCATGAATAACTTTTTTAATAGTATTTGATGATTACACTCATACATCTTGTAGACGTAGTTGCTCGAACCTGAATTCTCTAAAAAGAATAACATTATCTTTTATTACTAAGGTCACTTAATGAATTCACGTGTATAGTTAAAATAAAACTACAATTTCATGTATACAATTATATTAAATTAAAATTTGTATATTATGTTACACATTTAATTAGAATTCATATATAATTTTAATATTTGTCAATAGCGAGTAATACTTTTAAGGGTAAATTATATAGAATGTCACTGAACTTTAAGTGTTGTATCGTTTATACCACTGAATTTCAATTTCTTCAATTTTAGTACTAAATTTTGATTTATGTTTCAATTATATCACTAGAACATTAAATCGTTAACGACATGGTGACATGGCTAACGAATTTCAACGTGCTTGTCTCATGTCACACCAAAATTATGTCCTTTTGATGAGGCTGGTTTGATGCCCAAAAGACCTAAAATGACGTATTGTTGGAGTAAAATTATTAAATTATTGCATTTGAATGATGGCTATGAATTTCAACGTGCTGTCAATTTCAACGTGCTTGTCTCATGTCACACCAAAATTATGTCCTTTTGATGAGGCTGGTTTGATGCCCAAAAGACCTAAAATGACGTATTGTTGGAGTAAAATTATTAAATTATTGCATTTGAATGGATTCAAACTCTATACCATCTTTGGAAAAAAAAGGTTAGAGCTCATCCATCAAACTAACTTAAGCTTTTATTGTATTTTAAAAAAAATAATCTAGCTATCAAACTACACTTGAGATTATTTATATTTTATCTTTCAAAATAAAGTTGTTTTGGTGCAATAAAAACATCAGTAATCGTCAATCATGTCATCATACTATTAATGAATTAACGATTCAAATATATAATTAAAACGAAAATCAAAGTTTAATATTATAATTGAAGAAATTGAAAGTTTAGTGATATAAACAATACAATACCTAAAGTTCAATGGTATCTTATATAATTTAACTTACTTTCAAACAATGCATCAAAATTACAACGACAAATAAGGTCCACGAGTTGGCCAAATTAGGCGGCACGTGAAGTACACGCACGTAGAGATGCATGGAATTACAACGAAGCGACCGGTTCCCTCGTCATTTGGTAATAATACGGTCGTACGAATTACATTGATACAAGATAATTATAACAATGATAAAATGAAAAAGGCTGACATTTACAGAGATTCTTGCCATGTTATGAAAAAAGAGAGTGAGGAAAACAACAAACAATGGCTAAGATTTAGAAATAAAATTCTTTTTTATTTTTATTGAATTTTTTTTGATTAAAGAGATGGAAAGTTAAGGCGACATTGTATGTCAGAGATGACATGTGAATTTAATAAATAAAAAATGTTTTTTAACCTAAATAATTTAAGATTAATTCAAAATTATTTTTAACTTAAAATGTTATTGTTCAATATAAAAAGTTATAGTACAAGTTTATAATGTTTTAATTTAAACCGAAAATGTTATATTACAATGATTTTAAGGTTTACAATCTAAAAAGTTTTATAAATTTGTAATATTTTCGGTCGTACTCGAAAATGTTATGAAAAATGTAACATTCTTTGTTCGTCCGAAAATATTATCATGTCCAATCTAAAAAGTTACATCTTGATAATATTTTAATTACAATTAATTTCTGTCATTTTTTAACCTTACATTTACAAGTTGTATTTTATACTCTTCCCCGATAATATCAGGGCTTTGAGAATTATTTCTCATAATACTTTGATTTGGAATAACCTTTTAGGGGGATTTTAACGTTTATAGTTGTCTGTTTCTTTTTTTGATCAAGAGTTCTTTTTGAGAAAATCAATTGATAACCAAATAAGTAAATTGGCAAAATGGTGTATCCAATAGAGAAATGTGAAAAATGAGGTCCTTGCATTGATATTAGACCTTAAATAATGTGTGATGAGTTTGGTTGATAGTGTTATTTTATTTATATTATATGGTTTATATTTCATTAAAAATAAAATAAAATTTCCTTTGTCTTAAGCCTCCCCGTCGAATTTACCACCCAAAATCTTACCATTTCATTTCATCATCTTCATCAATTTCTTAATTCCTCCATTGATGACAGCTTGAAGAACCTTAAGTCAATACCCGAATTGGACCGGAATCAATGCGTAAATATATTTAAGAGTTAATTGCATAATACACTCTTAAAGTATTATCTCATTTCAAATCGGTCTGTAAACTTTTAAATGTTCAAATTTCATCTCTAAACTATGACTATAATTCTATATTATTCCTTAAACTTTTGGACATTTCAATTTAATCCTCAAACTATGACCTTCATTCTAAATTAGTCCCCAAAATTTTTTAACATTCCAATTTCATCCCAAACTATACATATATACTATTCGCATCCCTTGTTAATAGAATCATTAGGCCAAGTTATATTATTGTATGTTTGAAAAAAAAATTAGGTTAAACTATGGTTGAAACTAATTACATGTTTGGATGAAATTGAAATATTCAAAAGTTTGGGACCAATTTAGAAATAGGGTCATAGTTTAGGGATGAAAATATAATGTTCTAAAGTTTAATGACTAATTTAGAATGAGAGTTATAGTTTAGGGATGTAATTGGAATATTCAAAAGTTTAAGAACCAATTTAAAATTAAGGTTATAGTTTGAGGACCAATTTATTTGAGATTTTTATTAAAAATATAAATTTGATAGTAAATTAATGATTAAATTAAAGAAGGACCAAATTGAAAAGAAAGTTTAAATACTACATTGTAATGGAAATAAAAGAAAAAGTGTTGCATGGCTATTGGCCCTAAAATTATTATAAGTGAAAATTGATGGGAAATAGGTTCTTATGTCTCAAAATGATCATAAGCAAAATTCAATGAAAAATCAACCTTATTCTCGGTTTGATTATCTATATGATCGTTGCTCGTTTGATCTTAAATAAAATATTTATACCAACAACCAGTTGGTCTAATGTGATGAGGCATTATGTCCCTTAAGCAAGGTCAGAGGTTCGAATCTTAGCGTTTGCGAATAAAGCAAACTCGATTGAGAGGATCGCCCATTAGTCGGTCAATAGATCGGATATCAATAATTAATTAAAAACATATATATATATATATATATATATATATATATAATATATATATATATATATATATATATATGTGTGTGTGTGTGTGTGTGACCTATCGGACCCAATTCTCATTTGATTAGGCTCAAATTTTATTTAATACATCTAATCACATACTTACATTTATCCATAGACCCTTCAGTCCAACTCACATGTGTTGATTCAGAAATACGGTGAGTTACAAGTATTCTCTTATCCTATACATAAAACTTTATTTATTTTAGCTTCCTAAGTGTTATGAATTGCGAATTAGTCCATAAGTTTGACCTATATGGCAAAATAGTCCTTATAATAGATAATTCAATTAATCAACCTTAATTAAATTGAATATCTATAAAGTCAACCTCATACCAAATTTTGCAAAGGTTAGAGTTTAAGCCAGCTATGAAAGAATAATCCAAAAGATTTTATGAATGGAAAAGAGAGAATAAATCCAAAAATATAGTCATCCACAAGCATGAAAAATCAGTTTTTTAATTAGTCAGTCAATGTGTAATGGATCTATCTGAAATTTGAAAAATCATTTTTAATAGTTTAAGATAATTATAAA